GTGTGCCCGAGGGGGCCTTCCGCGACCTGGGGCAGCTGCGGGACCTGGAGCTCCAAGGCAACCGCCTGCGGCGCCTGCCCGCGGGAGCCTTCCAGGGCCTCGGGGGGCTGAGGGACCTGGACCTGTCGGAGAACCTCCTGGAGGGGCTGCCCCCGGACCTGCTGGCGGAGCTGCCCAACCTGGAGATCCTGCGGCTGGAAAGGAACCGGCTGCGGCGCGTGCCAGATGGCTTCTTTTCCGAGGAGGCTGCGTACGCATACGTCTACCTGGCCGGGAACCCCTGGCTGTGCGACTGCCAGCTGCTGTACCTGCGGGACTGGATCATCGAGAATGAGATCAGCGTGTATACTCGCACGTCCGTGCAGGAGGATGGCTCTGAGAAGGTGGTCACGGAGAATGACCCAGAGAGCGTCCAGTGCCACGAGCCACACAAGGAGAAGGGGCGGCCTGTCATGCATTTCCAAGCTGTCTGCAGGCAACTTGGAGATGGTGAAGAGGCAGAAGGCGGAGAAGACGATGCAGACGATCCTCGGACTCTCGCTCCCACTCCTTCCACTTTGAAGTTCTCTGCTGTTGTCTCCCGGACCGCGTTGTTCCCTGTACCTTCCAGCCTCTCCTCACACAGCCCAAGCACAGCCATCACCACGACTGGTGCTTCTCCCACAATCGCAACAAGCACGTCAGCATTTAGCTCCACAACCACATACGCTCGCACAGCCACCAGTCATGTTCCATCAACCGCTATTAATGTTCTCACTACAACCCCAGCAGTTGCTGCTTTTAACCTTTCCACTGCTGGTGTCATTGTGGGAAGGTCAACTCCACCCTCAAAACTGCAACCTCTAACCACAGGGACACCAGCCTCCCCCACCACCCACCTCCCAACCACCCCATCCAAAATCTTCAGTGTTCCTACCACGCCAACTGCAACCCCTTCCCCCACTTTTGCTCACAGAACCACCACCTTGATGCCCACAGCCCCTGTTTCCCAGAGTACACCACCCCCAACAATGGCTGTGACCAGGCACCTTCCAAGCACTCTTGGAGCCCTTGTCCCCTCAATCACTCACGGCAAAAGCTCACCCACAATTTCTACTCCTGCTTCCACCCGTGTCTTTTCTCCAGCAGCTTCCTCCATGCCCGCTGGTCACTGTCTGTGCCCTGCCCTGCCCGTCAGGGTTCTTGGCGTGGCCACTCGTAAAGGGACCCCAGCAAACTGGCTGGCTGGTTATTGCTGCCTTCTGCGTCTGACTCTGTACATCGCCTGCCTGGCACTCGTGGCTCTGCCGGCCCTGGCGGTGCTCTGCTGCCTGGGGTGGCTGTACCTGAGCTGGTACCGTCCAGCTCTGCAAGGAGCTCCTGGGGCACGTCTGGCCAGATACCAGCAAGGGCAGAGAGTCACCCTGAAAGAACGGCAGCTGAAGACTGCTGAAGTCCCCAGTCTTACAACGGGGCCCCGGATCTATCGTGTTTGCAAGAAGTTCAGGATTGCCCCTTCCCGCCACGTCGCCTGGCTCCTCGTCAGCCTGCCGGGGCCTGCTGGAGAATGGCCCTGGGAGCAGAGGCAGGGCAGCCGCTCGTCCTACAGCTTGGACCGAGGAAGGGACACCTTCGGGGCTGTGAGAGTAAAATACGCTGCGGCCTCCTTATAAGGGCCAAGCAGTTCAGAGACCTGGATGATCGGAAGGCCCAAGGGTCCATCCAGAAAAAGGGCCGAGTTTGCTTGAGACACGGGTGGGGGGGGGACTGCGGCCCTCTGGCTGTGGGTCTGCAGTTCCACCTTCCCTCCTATTGCCAGGCTGCTTGCAGTCAGTGGGGATTCAGTCCAACAGGGGCAGGGGACGACCGACTCCAGATGCAGGTTGAGCGACTAGCAGGAGGGCGCAGGGCCCAAAGAGCGTGGCTTATTCTGCCCGGGAAAAGCCAGCCGCAGAGGCCCATCCTCAAGCGCGTCAGATCCAAATGGACTGCTGGACGTGCGTGAGGGAGACACCCAGTTCCTCTTCCCAGCACGCTGAACCCAGTCAAGTGGCCTTAGCGGTGGTTCCGGCAGTTCTTGGTCCCATGAATCGTGAAAAGGCCCCCCTCCCCCATGATTACTATGATTAGATTTACATCCCCTCCTATTTTAGCCAATTCAAGACAGCGTACGTAACGCTCCTGCCGCCTATTGTCCCTGCAACAACAGCCCTGTGAGGTGGGTTGGGCTGAGAGAGGGACTGGCCCCAAGCCACCCAGCCGGCGTTCGTGCCTAAGGCAGGACTAGAACTCACAGCCTCCTGACCTTCAGGCCGGCGCCCCGTCTGCCGCACCAAATGGGCTCTCCCT